TTGCTAGCTCGTCTGGTGAAAAGTAGTGGGGAATTGGTGCTGGTGGGCGCACCGCAGCCCCGGCATTGGCAGTTTGATTTCTCCCGGCACGCCTCGATCTCATTGGTGGGCTTGAGGTTGGGTTTGCACCCGTCCGATCAGCATCGGATGGTGGCTGAGTCATCTGTGGTACTTGCAATTCCGCCTGCTGCACCACCTCTTCCCGTTTCCTTGGTCCTTCTCTCGCCATGCCTTCTCCTTCTGTCTCCTCCTCCTTGGTCTCGGGAAGGGTTTCTTCCCTATAAGATGGGTCGTACCGCTCGTCTTCATTATTACTAATAGTGTCTTCCCCATTGTTTAAAGCCCTTCTCGCCGCTGCCTGATACCCATTCTCTGGCCCTCCGCCTCTTCCGCTTACGGTTTCTCTCCTCGCCACGCGGCTTCCGTGCTCTAGGGATGGTGATTGCCGGAGCATATGAGCCATCGCCAGAGCTCGTTGCCGCCTGGTCGGCTGCGGTCGCCAGGCCTCTGGCGGAGCCTGAAAAGGCGATCATGGCGACGAAGCCCCCTCTACCACCGGCTCCGAAGCCCGTGACAGCAGTCTCTTAAAAGACTCCTCCCCCCGCACCCGCGGATCCCCTCCCCGGGTCAGAGGCGGGCTCGTTCGCTCCCGCTGCTGTTCCGTCAGCTCCGCCTGTGGCACCTGGCCCCCTGGATCCCCTTGTTGAGCCGTCGACGTCTGCCCCTGCTGGGGGTGTTGCTGAGCCCCCTGCACCTGTCCCTGGCGCCCTTGTTGCGTTGACCGCTTCTGTCCCCGACCCGCCTGCGCAGGCCTCTGCTTCATCACCAAAGGCGGCGTCCGCCACCACTGGCGAGCCGGCTCCGTCGGTTGGGCCTGCGCCGGCGGGCCAGTCCGCCCCTGTTGTGACGGCGGTGGCTCCTGCAGGCCAACCGTCGCGCCCTCCGTCGCCTGACCGTCGTTCGTCACGCCCCCATTCCCCCGCTCCCCAACAGGACCGCAGGTCCTCTCGTCGCCGGCGTGAATCTCCACGGCGGTACCAGGAGCAGTCACACTGGCCCACTCACCCCGGTGGTCAGGGGGATTGGAGGGGTCCCCGTGCACGTGGCGGGGGTGGGGGGTATCGCCCGCCTGTGACGATGGCGGATCTTCAGCGGGAAGTGTCAAGGGCGGTTCGAGAGGAGAGGGCGGCGCAGAGCCCGAGCAGTTCGCTGCGCGCCCTGCCAACCCACGAGGCTCCCCGTCCGGCTGCGCTCCCCCCGAACCCGCAGCCTGTTGCTGCGCCTCCCCCTCACATCCAGGCACCACCAACTCCTTTTCCCACTGTATCGGCACGTGCTCCGAGTTCTCGTCTCCATCTGCCGCCGGTTCCGCGTGGAGTTTGCGGCCGCGGGAGGCGGCTTGTTGGCGGCTCCATTCGCTCTCCCAGCTGATGCTGAAGAGCCGCTCCAGTTTCTAGCGGAGGCTCTACAGCCGCCGCAGACCCGTGTTCCCGAGGCAACTCTCGGACAGCTACACCGCCTCGCTGACAGTCTCCATGCTCTGCTGCTGATTCAGGTGCTGGCCCACTCGTCTCTCCCTGTGATCCCTCCTGAGACCTTCCGTGCTCGCCAACGTGACCCTTGCCTGGACGCGGCGGACCAGCTCGCAGAGCTGCTGGCGCCCGTGTTGGCTGCGCCCGCGGAGGGTGGCGCTGCAGCTGCAGGACAGCTTGGCGAAGCTGTCCGGGGCTTGAGGCAGCACTTGCGCGAGGGATCTGGAGCCGCGGCGATAGGCGCAAGCACGCTCGTGGTCCGGGAGCTGTGGCGCTCCCTGACAGGCGTTCTTCACGCCCTTGGGGCTCACCGCATGTAGATGTGGGCTCCGACAGCCCCGATGATGCCATGTTTGCCTAGAATGACGTAGCACTTGCCATGGTGTGTAATGCTTTGCCCATATTTCTTGTATCTGTTTCTCTTGCTGTCCCCTCACGCGCGGCCGAAGGCCGCGCTGTCGAGCGTTGGCCTCCGGAGGCGGCCGGTGCGAGCCGCTCGGTTAGGAGAGCAAATGAACGCTGAACTGAAATATGAGGCTCAATGGGCCAGGCACTAAGGCCTTTATACTAGGCTGGAGAGGGCTGGAGAGGCTAAGGACTAGCTCCTAGGGCCTCTCTCTCTCTCTCTCTCTCTCTCTCTCTCTCTCTCTCTCTCTCTCTCTCTCTCTCTCTCTCTCTCTCTAATGGTCCGTATATTGATATGGCTCGAGCTGGGCTTTGACCCACGGCCAGTTCGGTCGTTGTGGCGAGGTCTGGCGAAGTGTTAGGCGCGGGAGGAACAGCAACAGGCGCCAACCCTCCTCGGATTCAGGGTTTCGCGATAGGTGGAGTAACGGTGCCAGTAGCGCCAGCGAGAACAGTTGGCACAGATTAGGCGGTAAACAACGTGTCAGCGAATGCTGGCGACTGTCGCAGAGTGCCGCGATGTCCCAGCTCGAGATTGTTGCGAACAGGTCTGCTCTCTTCGCCAGTTCGTCAGGGGAAAAATAGCGGGGAGTCGAGTGGTTTGGCGCGTCGCGGCATTGGTAGTAGTGGTCTGATTTCGTCGAGCGCGACCCGTCCGCTCTGGCAGGATTGGGGTTGGAATTTCACCCGTTCGATTGGCATCGGACAGTCGCTGAGCCGCCTGTGCTGCTTGCGTGGCCAAGAGCCCTACCCGCGCTACTCCTCTTCCCGCTGCCTCCCGTGTACTGCCTTCGTCCTCGATCCCCTCGTCTTCGCGCGGAGGGAGGGATTCTTCCCTATAAGGTGGGTCCCTTATCTCGTCATCCTCATTATCCTCATTAGTTGCCTCAAGAGCCGTTAAAGCCCTACGCCCCGCCGCTTGATACCCGTTTTCCGGACCTCCGCCTGCCCTGCTCGTAACCTGCCTCCTGGCCCCGCTGCCTCCCCGATCTCCAGATGGTGATTGCTGGTGCATCTGAGCCATTGCCAGTGCGCGCTGCCGCCTGGTCGGCTGTGGTCGCCCAGCCTCAGTCGGGGCCCGGAAAGGCGACCATGCCGACGGAGCCCCCTGTACCGCCGGCTCCAACGCCCTCGACAACAGTCGCTGAAAAGATTCTTCCCCATGCACCCGCGGATCCCTTTGCCGTATTGGGAGCTGGCCCGTCTGTTCCTGCGGCTGCTCCGTCCGCTCCGCCGGCTGCTCCTGTTCCCCCGACCCTCTTCGTGGAGCCGTTGGTGCCTGCTCCTGCTGGGGGTATTGCTGATTCCCCAGTTCTTGGCCCTGGGGCGCCTGTTGCACCGCCTGCTTCCGTCCCCGACGTGCCGGCATCGGCTTCTGTTTTGTCGACGAATGCGGCGTCCGCCACTAGTGGCGGCCCGGCTCCGTCGGTTGCGCCCTTAGCGGCGGCGCAATCCGCGCCTTCTGCGGCGACAGTGGACCCGGCTGGTCAGCCGGTACGCCCCCCGTCACGTGACCGCCAATCGTCTCGCCCTCATTCCCCCTCGCCTCACCAGGATCGCAAGTCGTCTCGTCACCGTCGTGATTCTCCGCGGCGATACCAGCAGCAGCCTCACTGGCCTGCTCGCCCCGGTGGTCAGGGGGACTGGAGGGGTCCCCGCGGGCGCGGTGGTGGTGGGGGGTACCACCCGCCGGTGACGATGGCAGATCTTCAGCGGGAAGTGTCCCGGGCCGTTCGCGAGGAGAGGGCGGCGCAGAGCCAGAGCCGTTCGCCGCGGGCTGCGCCGGCGTGCGTGGCTCCTCGTCCGCCTGTGCCTCCTGTGGTCCCTCCGCCGACCGCTCTACTTCCTTCCCCTGTCCTCGTCCCGTCTGCTCCCTCTCCCTCTGTAGCGGCGCCAGCTCCCGGCTCTCATCTGCATCTGCCGACGGTTCCGCCTGTTGCGGGGGTGGAGTTTGTGGCCGCGGGTGGTGGCGCGGCAGCGGCTCAGTATGGAGCTGATGAGCCGCTCCAGTTCCTGGCGGAGGCGCTTCAGCCTCCGCAGACGCATGTTCCTGAATCGACTCTTGTGCAGCTCCACCGCCTTGCCGAGAGTCTCCACGCGTTGCTGCTGATACAAGTCCTTGCTCACTCCTCACTCCCTGTGGTCCCTCCTGAGACGTTTCGCGACCGTCCGCGCGAGACATGCTTGGATGCGGCGGACCAGCTCGCCGTGCTGCTGGCGCCCGTGCTGGCTGCGCCCACGGAGGGTTGCGCTGCTGCTGCGGGACAGCTGGACAAGGCTGTTCGGAGCTTGAAGCGGCATTTGCGCGCTGGATCTGGAGCCGCGGCGATCGGCGCAAGTACGCTGGTGGTCCGGGAGCTGTGGCGGACCCTAACTGGCATTCTCCATGCCCTTGGAGCACACCGGATGTAGATCCGGCCTCCGCTTGCCCCTGTGTTGCCATTAGTGCTTAGGATTGTGTTGATGCTGCCATATTTTGTATGACGTTGCTTGCAGTCAATCGTGTGCGTGTGTCTTTGCCACCCCTCACGCGCGGCCGAAGGCCGCGCTGTCGAGCGTCGGCCGCCTTCAGCGGCCGGCGCGAGCCGCTCGGTTAGGAGAAACAAATGAAAAGAGAACCGAACAATGAAGAGAGCTAGCTGTAGAGGAGCACTTTATACTAGGCTGGAGAGTGCTGGAGAGGCTAAGGACTAGCTCCTAGGGCCTCTCTCTCTCTCTCTCTCTCTCTCTCTCTCTCTCTCTCTCTCTCTCTCTCTCTCTCTCTCTCTCTCTCTCTCTCTCTCTCAAGCAGTCCTGCATTGATGTATGCATAGGGTACAAGCAAGCAATGGCATCCTAGCAGGCAGTTGGCCTAGAAAAGCCCTGTCATGAAACCGCATAGTCACATGAAGAGCCAATGCCGGGCCGGCTCGCCCCATGCTAAATTGTCTAGAGGCTACACCTGTCCCTATTGCTACCTCCTTGCTGGCCTGATTGTCCCCCTGCACGTCACCTCTCTCCTTTCCTGTCCGGCCGTGCCTGCCCTCCTCGGTTGGGCGGTCCCATGTGGGGCTACCTGGCCCTCTACTCCCCCAAGTCGATTAGCTGGGCCAGGTCATCCTCGAGGACCTGCCAAATGTCCCCGAGGCTTGGTCCCCACGGGTCCGCGGCTGCTTGGGGGTGCGCTGCCTCAAGTGCCCTGTTGGACTTAGCCATCAGGGCATTTGCCTGGCAGCGCTGGAGCATCACCGACCAACGCTGCCGGTAATGCGCTGTGAGTCTGGAGGCTACCGCGGTTAGCCTCCCCTGTCTGTGCTTCCTCTTGGCCGCCTGGGTTCCCAGGAGGCGGAAGAACCGTTGGGTGTCCCTAGCCAGGGCCCCGTAAGTCTCCACCGCCAGGCCAAACACCCCAACAAACCCTGGGCGTCCCTCGTATAGGCCCCGTTTCACTCGTGCCGCATCCTCTGCCGCCCATCCTGGTGCCTTTACCGCCCTCTTATCGCGCCGCTGCAGGACGGGGTCAGTGACCGTCACGTCAGTCACGTAGGTCTCGTTGGACTCCTTGTCGCGGATCACCACGTCTGCTCGCTTTTGGTTGGTTATGGGCGAGAAGGCTGCTGACTCGTACAAGGTGGTGTAGTCCGCTTCCTGAGCCATACGGAGCACCGCGTACGCCAGAGCGTTATGAGTGTTAGTCCTGTCCCCTCCATCGGCACACCGCAGTAGGTGGTTGGGCAGGCTTCTGTCCCTAATGTCCGACCGCTTCCCCTTGCACGGGCATTTGTCCGTGACTGCTACTGGGAGGCCCAGCCGAAAGCCGAGCGCAACTGCAAACTGTCCGGGGGAGAAGGTGAGGTCCCCCCTTGTGGGGATTGCATGCAGCCAGTCTCCCGCCCCCACCCCTTGCAAGCTGATTAGCCGAATCACGTGCCCGTTGTCGGCTCCGGGCTTGTCTGCCCGCGTGTCCCCCACAAGCTCGGCCGCCCGGTCCAAGTTGATGTGTTTGGAGAGGATAAGCTGTAGGTGACCCGTCACCTCGCCCTTCTGGTGTTGTGCTTTCAGGATCTCCCTCGCCTGGTCAGGTAGCCGGTTGCGCAAGTCCAGTAGCGTTACCTCCCCCTCCGCTGCCCCCTGGACCCCTCCCATTGGTGACACTAGGTCCGCCACAAGCTGTAGCGGGTTGTCCGGCGTCAGCGTCATGTGTCTGAGTAGGGTGTTGGCGGCGTGTAAGGATGCCAAGTACGCGGCTGGTGCCTCCGAGAGCGGGTCTATCAGCCCCAGCCCCCCCAGGCAGACCGGTAGCGTGGCCTGGCGCCAGACTAGGCTTTGCTCCAGCTCATCGACAGGTGCGTGTATCTTTGCCGCTTTGAGTGCTGTCCACAGAAGTTCCTCGCTCCAGTCCCTCCATTCCACCAGAGGGAGTGTGTCAGCCGGGGTGGTTCGGAGGAGGTAGGAGATGCGTCTCGACACACACCTCGAGAGGAGGAGGAGTGCGTGCTGTGGGTGCAGTTTGCCGATGAGGGTTAATGGCGACGCCATCGTGCGCAGGGTTGCGCGGAGGGACCTTCTCCCATACTCTCTAGTTCCGATCGGGCTCCCCAGCACCCGGATTCCATCGACCGCCGCCACCAGCCCCTCAGGGAGTACATCCGCGCATCCTGCTGGGCACCACGCTGAAGACTTCTCCAAGTTGCATCGTAGTCCGCACTTGCGGAGTTCCTCAGTGATGATCTGCACTCCTTTAATCGCCTCCGCCGGCTCGCCGATTATCGTGATGTCGTCTGCGTACGCCAGCACCATCGTGTTGGGACACCTCGCCGCTGCACTCAACAGGGTCGGTTGTATTGCCGCCGCGAAGAGCATTGGCCCTAGTGGGTCGCCTTCACGCACGCCCCGAGTGCTTTCGATGTAGCGTTCGTCGAAGCCCGGGTCCAGCAGGAGACGCGCCGGTTCGCCGTAGAGCGTGCGGACCAGGGGTAGTAGCGGTTCGAGAGCTGTCCATTTGAGCGCTGTGAAGAAGCTTCCTCGTTCGACGGAGTTAAATGCGTTTTCGACGTCCAGATGGATGGCGATGCGGCTCGGTTTTTCCTTCAGTAGTGCTCGGGTAGCGTGGATTACTGTCTCTGCTCCTCCGGGTACCGCCACGCCGAACTGAACCGGGAGAAAAAACTTCCGAATTTCTGGTGAGAGTTTCCGCAGCGCGGCTTTTGCCGTTAGCCTAATTATCGCTTCGCCGATGGCGATCGGTCTGACTCCTCCTCCTGGCTTCTCCAGTGCTATTAGCCTCGCCTGTAAGAGTAGATCTCTTAGGGTGTCACTGAGGTGGGAGCTCAGCACTGTGTTGATTACTTGGTGCAGTAGGACGAAGACTTCCCCATTGAGCAGCGCGGGGTCACGGAGGTGTTCAAAACACGTGCCTGACGGTCCCGCTCCAATGCCATTCGGGCACTTAGCTAAAACTTCACGAAACTCCTCTGCCGTGATTGAGAGTGATGACGTGCTGTACCCGGTAACCCACCCTGGAGTTGCCTCCCCCGCGTGCGGATGTTTGGCACGAAGCGCAGCGAGCGTCGCCGAAGTTTGCTCTGCGAGGGGGGTTGACTGTAACGCCGCTAAGGCTTTCGCCAGGTTTGCCTTCTGTACTAGGCCTTCCGCCCGTGCGCACATGCCTTCAGGGTCGGCTTGGTGTCTGCTGGGTTGAGGGTTTGGGGGGATGATGCATGCTTCCGAGAAGAGCACTTCCCACTCTTCTTCTTGAAATTGTTGGAGTCTCTTTTCCACCCCGGCCCACCGGTTTCTCGGGACGTTCTCAACTTCGGCTCGGAGGGTCAACCTGGGTAGGAATTGCAGGATTCGCCATGCTCCCGCGCAGCCTGGAACCTTCGCGAGTCGCAGCAGGGGGATCGTCATGCAGTAGGCGTAAACTCCCAGGATTTTGGGGGGCAGCTTCCGGAACAGGAAGGGTTGAGCACTGCAACACATCGGGCCCAGCTCCCACCCTTCCACCTGGCGCCAGATCTCCGGGTCATCAGCAATATCTGCTGGTGATCTTGCCTTGCTGGCAGTCTCGTTGGGTTGGGTGCCGCGTGACTCACCCTCGTTGGCATCAGCTTGGTTTCCTCCACTCCTTACCCCACGATTTGTCCCTCCCGCCGGGATGCCCTGCTCATCCTCCACTGACACATCCTCTGAGTCCCCTTGTTCTTCTTCCATATAATCCTCATCCCCTTCTGCCTCGTCGTTATTCATTGGAGCTCCACTCTGTCCTCGCTCAGGCCTCCCATGTCTTTCCCGCCAAGGACCAGATCTGGCCTTCTCTCTTGCCACGGCTGCAGCCAGGCCCCCCCGGCCTGCCCGCCCGCTCGCACCCCGTACGCCGCGTCCTCTCCCCCCTGCCGGCGGCTGTCCTCTCGTTCCCGACGGCGGATTTCCTGCCGCCTGCTCCGCCGCCCGTTCTCGCAGCACCCTCTGACGTGCGGTTCCCCCTCGGCGCCTATCGATCGCGGTCACCTGCTCCTCCTCCACGGCTGCCGTCCCGCCCTCCACCTCTGCCGTCTCCCCTTCAGCTCCGTCGGCCGCTGGTCCCGCGGCGCGTTCCGTTCCTGATGGCAGGCCGGCGTCGGCCCCCCCGGCGCGATGTGATCGTGGCGGCGGGGCCTCCTGCTGTTCCCATCCAACCAGCGGCCCAGGGCGGGCAGGTGCCAGCCCTGTTCCGAGCCGTCGCGGACTGCCTAACTGCGGGCGTTGGCATCGCGCCCTCGGCGCCCCCACTGGCGACTGTTCGGCCGCGGGAGCCTGTGTATCGATCCCCCCGCGGGCGCACCCATCCATTCCTTCGCGCGCGCGGGCAATCCTTCCGTCGCCGCCGCCCTCCTCGCCCGCCGTTGTCAGGCCAGGCTCGCCGACAGCCTCAGCACCACGCTCCCGCCTCTCAGTCGTCCCCGTTGCACCTACCTCCTCCCCCGGTGCACTCCGCCTCGTCGCAGCAGGCTCCACCGGTTGCGCAGGCTCCGGCGCAGTCTGCGCCCCCTGTTCCTCTGTCGCGGCCATCTCTTCCTGATCCAGATCCTGAGGCGCCACCTCAGTCGCCACCGTCTCACCCTGTCTCTTCATCCTCACTGGGCGGTTCTGCTCCTCGGTTGGTCGAACAGGCGCCTCTCCCGTCTGCGGCCCCAGTGCCAGGCTCTGAGCCGCCTCCTCTCCCGCCGTCCCCTCAACCAGCCGTGCCTTCCTTGTCCGTGCCGACCCCTGCTGTGCCGTATGCGTGTTCGTACCCCCCTCGGCTGGATGTGACGGACTCCGCTCCTCCGGGCCCTCGCGGGCTCCCTTTCCCGGATCCCGCCTACTGCGGCCCTCGGCGCCAGCATCCCCTCGTGCCAGGGTCTCGTCCTCCTGGAGCTCGGTTTGGATTTGTGAGTCCACTCCCGTGATGTGTTCCCCTGGCTCGCCGCATGCTGTCTTGCCCTGCCCTGTACTTTCCCGCCGTGAATCACCGTGTCCCTGTTTGTCGTCCTTTTTCCCTTCCCCTGTTCCTGCAGCATCAGCCTGTGCCTGGGATTGCCCGCGGCTACTGGAGCGACGACGAGGTGCCGGGCACCCCTCGCGACCCGGGGGTTGATTGGGATGGTTGCTTCTCGTGGCCTCAGGAGCAGGACGGGGGGAACTGGGGCTCGTGCGCTCCGCCCCCGAGCCCCCCTTGGGGGACGCCTTCTTATGGACCGGGGGATTACGAGTCTCGTTGGCGGCATCTTCAGTCGATTGGCCGTTGCGTGACTGAGCTCTCGTTCGTGCTTGACCTCCTGCACGACGCCCTTCTGTCTCGGGAGGTGGTGGCGCGGGATCCGCACATGAATGAAGACCAGCAGAGTCGTGTGCGGCGGGCAGTGGAGAGCGCGCTGTGGGATGTCCTGCATCTGCCACTTGAGCCCGGGGACCCTTCGTTGGACGACGGACCTGGCGCAGCGGCTTTCCGCATGGTAGCCACGGCTGCTGAGGAGTGCCCGCTTGGCATCGTGCCCGCACTCGCGTGTTTGCTCCGGTGGCTTGGGCGGAGGGTGAGGCGGATGTAGGCGTTGCCTTGGTTGGTGCTTTGTTTGTGTGCTTCTCCAACCCCATTGGCTGCGACTTACCTTTGCCTAGGTCAGCGGGGCTTAGGCTTGCATGCTTGTACTGCTCCGTGTGTAACTGTCGTCTTCCCCTTTTTCCTTGCCACCCCTAATGCGCGGCCGAAGGCCGCGCTGTCGAGCGTCGGCCGCCGAAGGCGGCCGGCGCGAGCCGCTGGGTTGGGAGGAACCAAGCTCACCAGAAAATAATGGCAGGAATGAGGCAGTAGGGGAAGCTATAAGTGTTAATGTACTCCTTGTAGGCAAGCTGCAGGGAATACACTAGGGACCGGAGGCTAAGGAAGCCTTAAGTCTATGCTATGCTAAGGCTAAGCTAAGCTAGAGAGCTTGGAGAGACTAAGGAAAGGGCCTAGTGCCTCTCTCTCTCTCTCTCTCTCTCTCTCTCTCTCTCTCTCTCTCTCTCTCTCTCTCTCTCTCTCTCTCTCTCTCTCTCTCTCTCTCTCTCTAATGGTCCGTATATTGATATGGCAGGAAGGTACACACATATAGTTTCAGAAGCATACGAGATTCAGTCTAATCCCTCTAGAGTTCCACCAGTGGCTCCAAAACAGCAAAACAATCCCCTAGGTGTAGCTCATGCCCAATACCCCCGACCGGAGGGTTCTCAGCTGCTGCAGCCTCACCCAGTTTCATAAGCAGGCCCACTGACTGCGCCCTCTGAAGGGCAACCGACCACCGCTGCCTGAACTGATGCAGAAACTTGGCGGCATGATAGGAGTTAGAGTCGGCGTTGAAGTGGCGCCGAGCCGCGGTGTCTGCCAGCAGTTTGAGGAAGACGGGGACCTCTGCACATGGGCAGCCGTAGGTCTCCACTGCCAGTGGAAAGAAGCCGACTGTCTCCGGCCTGTTTGCATAGTGCTGAATTTTCTTATCTGCCTGTTCCCTAGCTGCCCATCCCCTGCCTTTCTGTGCCTGTGGGTCCCGAGTACTGATGGGGTCTGTCACGGTCACGTCGCGCAGTCAGACCGTCCCACTGCTCCTATCGGACATGGTGAAGTCGGCTGTCTATTCCTTGACAGGGCAGTGGGCAGCCGACTCCCTGTGGACGATAAACCCCGCGTCCTGTGCCATACTAATGCAGGCATCTCGGAGCTCGTTATGGGTGTTGATGCGATGCCTGCCAGTGCCGCAGCGTAGGAGGTGATTAGGGAGGCGGGGGTCTAGGATTTCGGTGTGATCAGAGCAGTCACAGTTTTTCGGGGTGGAGAAGGGCAGCCCGAGCCTGAATCTGACGGCATTTGCGAAGTGTACTGGGCCTAGGCGTCTGGTTGCTTCTATAGGGATGGCTGTCAGCCAGTCCCCTGTGCCGTAGCCGGTTAGGGAGAACATCCGCTGCGTATGGCCTGCTAGCGGATTCAGTTCCATGTCCCTCGTTGCCTGTACTTGCACGGCGTAGCGGCTACCGTGAACCTGTAGGGCAAGGGCGTGCTGTAGTTTGACATCTGTCCGCTTAAGTCGTTCCCGTTCCAGCAGCTCTCGCGCATCGGAAGGCAGGGCGGACTCGCACTCTGTGAGCCAGGAGCGAAGCGGTGTGTTTTCATCCGCGGGCCGTAGCATATGGCAGCGCGCGTGGGAGAGAGCGGTGTCCGGGTCTAGCGCGAGCGTAGAGAAAAGCAGAGCCGCCTGTGTGAAACTTGCGACGAAACCGTAGACTCCCTCAACGAGGGGGTCAGTAACACCTATTCCCCCTAGAGACGGGGGCAAGGAGGCCTGCGCCTAGACGCGTGCCTGTTCCGCCCTACCCGCCGGCACACGAATGCTGCACGAGGTAAGGAGTGCCAGGAGGAGGTCACGACCCCACTCCGTCCAGGTGTCTCGTGAAACGAGGTTGAGAGGAGTTGTTCGAGTTAGATAGGACACGCGCCGAGAGATGCAGCGTGTGATCAGCAGCGAGGCCACCTGAGGATCTGCCCGCTCGATGAGGTGTAAAGGTTTCGCCAGGTCCTTCAGCTGGCCCGCTAAGAAAGAAGCTGCGCCGTTGGCCGCCCCCAGAAAACTCCCAAGCAAGCGGATGCCGTCCGTGCAGAACGGCACCCCTGGAGGCAACCCAGCAGAGTCGCACGCAGTAGCGGTCCATGCCGTGCACTTCTGCGGGTTGTGCTTCAGGCCTAGTGATTCCAGTTTGGAGGTGAAGTGGTTGAACGCGGCTACAGTGGCTCTTTGTGCACCCACGAATGTCACGTCGTCAGCATAGGCCAAGCAAAGCACCCCAGGGTGAGCTGCTGCAATGTCACGTGTAGGGTGTATTCCCGCCGCAAACAGTAGCGGGCCGAGTGGATCGCCCTGGCGAACGCCACGTTCGCTGCGTAGGGGTTTGCTCGCGAAGGTCGAGTCCATGTAGAGTCGCGACGGGTTACCGTAGGTCAGTCGAACCAGTGGGAGTAGTGGCGATAGAGTTGGCTCCTGTAAAGCCGCTGCGATGGATTGTCGCGAAATGCTGTTGAAAGCATTCGCGATGTCGGTCTGTAGTACAAGGCTGTTTGGGTGGCAGTCCACGTACGTTCGGGCGGCGTGAATTATCGCTTCCGCCCCACCAGGTACCGCCACGCCATACTGTAGGGGTAGGAAGAAGTCACGTGCAGCCTCCCCCATGACCAAGAGCGCAGCTTTGGCAGCCAGCCGAGTCAGGCATTCTCCAATTGCGATTGGTCGGGCCCCCCCCCCCAGGTTTGGCCAGGGCGATGAGTCGGGACGCTGTAAGCAGGTCCGCCACCGAAGCTGGGAGGTTGCCCCCCAGAATTGTATTCACGAGGGCGTGCAGATGGGTGCTGACGGATGCATTGGTTATTGCAGCGTCGCGCAGGTGCTCAAATGTTGTGCCAGAAGGTCCGGCACCGACACCATTCTCGCATCTCCCGAGGAGCTTCGCAAATTCTGCGTGGGAAATGCACAGGGGCTTAGCATCGGCTGACTGCCAGGTCAGCTGTTCGTCTCCCGCCGGTGGATGCTTTTGTCGCAGTTCGTCTAGAATTTCTGGGCTCGGTGTACAGACGGGTGTTGACTCGAGCGCCAACACGGCTCGACGCAGACTGCCACGTTTCGCCAACCCCTCGGCTCTGCTCAGGACACCTGTCACATCGGGTTGGTGAC